AAAAACCATGGTCTGTCTAATTAATATTCATGAGCCTCTCTTCTGATTGGCCTGTTGTTTTCTGAGTGACGCACGGCCAGGCCAACCACAGGTAACTAGGGTCATGTATGCTGTAGCCTGCTGTGGATTGGTGATACTCACAAGTAAGGTCAATAGAAACACCGGTAATGATGGTCACTGCTGAGGGAAATGTAGTCCGGCCTTACATGTTTGAGCCGAACTCAGACCCCGAATCGGCGACGACAGGCGACAACCAGCCACCTCCTCGAACGCGCTTACAACAGGATGTTTCAGAATGGTAATCTGACCAGCCGAGCGTTTGCGATCACGTGAACTTGAAGACACTTGTACAAATGCGGATGGGTGACATGAATGGAAAGGATTCCAGATTGGCGATGTAGTATTTGGTTTCTGTATTTTGTACCGTATTTTCCTGCGCTCAAACCTGCCAATCTAAAGGATCAAACGCCGTGTATGGCGGTTTGTGAATTAGCGTAGACTTGTAGTCTAAATAAAACAATTTGCAACTGTTACTATTATTACACTTGTATACAAAACTTTGTATTATGCTTGTTATAGAGTGTGTGATGTCACGTGCACTACGGTTGACGCGGTTGTCACGGCGACCGTCACAGCCCTACTGTGCAATGATGTAGTTTCCTCTGACATCCAGACTGAACAGTGTTTTCTCGACATGTTTCTGTGTTGTTGTTGCTCAGCAATGGCATGGACGCGATGTTGTCTGGGGGTTTGGCAAAATGAAGAGTGGGACTGTGGGCGGTGCTCGGGGTGGTGACTGAAGGCGGTGACTGAGTAGTTCTGACGTCACCTTTTTTACGGAAGTCACAACGGTTCGTGAAAAATCACAGCTACTTTATGCAGGCTGTGTGCATTTGACTGTGGATGAAACGTATATGGTAGTTACATAGCACCTAGACCTCAGTTATCATGAAAAAGCCAGGAAATGTCAGTTTTGACAATATGGGACCTTTAAAAACATGCCTGCTTTTCTCTTCTTTGAAGACACTTCATGGCATGGATTTTATGATTTTATCTAATACTCAATGCCAGCGCTGCTCTGCCTTCTGTGACCCTGCTGAAGGCTTCAGCTGTCAACATGTGAAAAGAGATGGCATTAATCTGTGTGCATTTGGAAATATTAAGGAGTGTTTGGTACTGCTTTCCCAAGTCTGCCTCTGTCTTTTTCTCTCTGGGAATGTTTACCCACGCTGAGACTAAAAAGCTAATGCTTTTCCAAGGACATGCTGTACACAGCACATGGAGGACGTTCAGTGCCCTGCTCAGACTTACACGGCCCCCGTGTCCATAAAACACACACACATAAACTGGAAATGGATGGTCAGCATCTTTTACACCTTTTTTTTAGTGGTTATGTCACAAATGTAAGGCTCTATGATTTCCATGATGCAGGTCAGAATCACGGAATCCATTCACGAAAATAGAATTTACAGTATAATTTGTCCGGAATTTGGAAAATCTGATGAATAAATCAAAAGTGGGGCTTTTATATCAGCTCTCTGTGAATATTAATGTGCAAAACGTCAGCATGTTCAGAATGTTGTTATTATTGTAAAAATATTAATAAATGAATAAATTATTGTGATTGAATTTAAAGTTTTTTGAATTCAGTTGATTAGGCATGCGTTCTGATTACTGACATTTAATTCAACCATTAAAACGGAATCCAGAAAAAAATACAAAGAAAAAAAAAAGGAATCAAGAAAAATTAGAACAGAAAAAATAAAATTTTAGCAAAATGAAACCGAATTTGGGAAAAAATACAATAGATTTCCTGCATGACTAGGGATGTAATTATTCACTCAATTCACGATGCGATATGATTCATGATACTGATTTCATGATACAATTTTCTCATGTTTTTCTTTTCTTTTTTTTAACAAAATTAGATTTAAGACAAATAAATGAAAAGGTGTCCTTTTATTATTTCTCAGACAAAATGCTGTATATTTCTTTGTGAAAGTGAAATATGTCGAAAAACAAAACTAAATTGAATATTTAAAATCCCAAATCAAATAAATAAATATTGCAAATAAAAGTGATCTCTCAATATAAACAAACTAAGGCTATTCCTGTGCTCTTTCTTTTTAAAATGAGAGGCAACCACTGCATTTTAATCACGATCCAAAGTTACAAAGATGCTGCAGGAGCTGTATTTAATCTAAATTAGATTATATAATTTCAAAATTTAAAACAAAAACAGAACAGACTTTAGTTTTGTGAAACTATACTACATAAAACTTGTGGTGCATCGTTACATCCCTAATGGTGACAATAAAGAAAGGAATTTGTCCATATGAAAAAAAAAAACAGAATTGTTTGTTTAATAAAAAGGAGAATCTGTCCAAATTAAACAACCATAGACCTGAAGTTCATGTTTGACATGTAAGGTTATTTATGAATTAATTTTTTTATTCAAATACTTTCTCCTGTCCAAATTGAAAATGCAGAGACCGCTATAATTGGCTTAACCAATGGTGTGAGATTGAGTCAGACTTTCTGTTTGCACTAATCATAGAAGACAACAGGAGTGTTTGAAAACAATCATTTTTGCAATGAAATGAATGGTGCAGAAATCACACACATCAAACTCTATACTAAATAGTGTACATGCGACACATGCGGCCTCTTGGCTTATTCTATTGTGATTATTATTGGTCATTCGAAGTCTTCTGGGGTTAAAATGTTTGGCTGTAATGAGCACAAAACTCCTGAACTGAACTTTCCCCCAGATAACTGATTCCCAGCGTAACTTTGCTAGTTTTGTGTCTCTCATAACACTCCACAGTCTTCTCACATAATTACATTTATCCAACTTCTTTCATTTATCTATTCATTTGTAGCCACGTAATACACAAGACAATGACGATCAGGACCACGGTCCCCTTGGCTTCCTCTGAACTAACACATGCTCATTGCATTGCTGATAAAACCATATGAGTGAACTGTTAAATATTAACCACTTTCACGAAGAGCAATGTTCACTAGTGGTGATTATTTCCTGTGATGATCTCTGAGGTTAGCTGTACTAAATGCACTCAAAAGGCCTCGTTTTCCTTGAATGTGTTGTGACTGGTTGACGGAGCTCAATCTGATCGGACTGTGAGCCATCACAGTACAAATGCTGCTTTGTGTCAATTTTTTACGCTTTTGTTGACAACGGTAAACTTAACCACTTAATTTTGTCAGATGTCTGCTGTTAATGGTTAAGGTTACAGCAAATGTGTGCATAAACAATGGATGATCGTCACAGGTGGCAAACTTTTATACAATGCGTTTTAATTATTGGGCATCGCTTTGGTATTGCTTACATATTGGATACTACAGATGTAGACCGGATTAAAGATGTTTTGCTGAAGCGCCAGAATGCGTTCCAGATATCCGCTCATAGAGAAAGAGCCATCGGAAATCTTTTAGAGCAGACTTAAGTTTAATTAGACTGCCGGAGGAGAAGAAGAAAGACTCATGATGCACGTTGAGCTGAATCGTCTCATTCCTTCATGTATTGGTTTATATTTATAGCCCATGTTAGTGATGGTGGTCGTGATTAGTCTGCCGCTTATTAGATGATAGCAAGCGTGGACAGATTGCATCCAATCAGGTGCTTATCGTTAGAGTCATCAACCCAGCACATCATCTCTAGTCAGCGGCCCACTGCACTGTTTGTGTGCGCACAAACTTTTACTTTTCATCAGAAATAAGGAATATTTCAAGTTTTCTTTAACCTAATGACCATATACCACATGCGAGTTGCTGTCGGAGTGTGTATAAACAAGCAGAATCCACGTTTGCCTATTACAATAATTAACATTTTACATTTTACAATAAATAAACATTTAAAATATGCTAACATCGCACTGCTTTGATAGTCTGACCATTTCTTGAATTCAGCATGAAATCCAATTTCAATAATTTCCTTATTAAACAAAAAGTTATAATCAGTCTTTAAAGTCATGTCATCTTAAAATTGGTACGTGGTTCAAGTGAATTAAAATATCTGCAAAGACCAGAAGAGACATGGAAGATGGATGTAACTCTCTGTGGATCATTGTTCACATGCAGCTCCAAAAATTGTTGTCGACGCAAAAGCAGATACTCATACATTTCATGCAGAAAAGTAAGCACTGAAACACGCATTTCCTAGTGAATCCTCAGGCCTGCAAAGCTTACATTGTGATTGTGTTCACCGTAAACATGCATGCCGTTTGTTTGTACACAAAGAGGGACGGGTCGAAATTATTGTCATATTAAAATAATTGGTAATCAACAGCATGCACAGCTGGTTTACATAAACACTCGGGTGAAAATTCTATTTTTGTTTTGCCTTAAACCATCCTGCACTGTGTGTGTGCGTGTGTGTGCGTGTGTGTGCGTGCGTGCGTGTGCGTGCGTGTGCGTGCGTGTGCGTGCGTGTGCGTGCGTGTGCGTGCGTGTGCGTGCGTGTGCGTGCGTGTGCGTGCGTGTGCGTGCGTGTGCGTGCGTGTGCGTGCGTGTGCGTGCGTGTGTGTGTGTGTGCGTGCTTGTGTGTGTGTGTGTCACCACAAAACAATAAGTCTGAATGTAGTCATATGACTGTGGACAGCGCTTAGAAGGTCTAGACCGCTTGGTACTTTGAGTGTGTGTGTTTATGTGATACACAAAGGGCCTACTGAGAGCGCTCAAGAATCACAGTGTACACAGACTTCTCTCAGTCTCCCCAAAGACTCGGTGAGGACGATCCCTTTCACTCGCTTACATTGTTCAAACTCTTCCTTGTCACAGAACCTACAAAGGCAGTATTTTAAGGCATCGTAGGAGCAATTGCTGTTCCAAACATAGAGAATGAGATGAGCCAGAGTCTGGCTTTAATTTCATGCCATAGAGGACTGGTTCCATCCAATCAGCTGTTGCATATGCGGTGTAGTATATTTCTGCATGACCTTTGACCTTGTGTTTGTGTGTTTTTTTTTTTGTCTCTGCAGCCCAGAATGTGACGGTGGAGGAGATTCTGAATGCCTACAGACAAGCATGCCAGAAGCTCAACTGCAAACCAATCCCTAAAGTGCTCAAGCAGATACAGGTAACGGACACATTTATTCATGCAGTCTCTCACATCTGCAAAAACATCATGGAGATTCTTCAGTCCTGCGTTCAAGACTAGTGATGCAACAAAAATATTCGTCTGAAAATTAAAATGAAACGGTCTTGGAGGGCTGAAATCATTGACTGAAACGTGACGCTAATTAGCGTTTCTCCGATGGCGTGTTTTGACTGTGTTAGCGGCTACAACAGGTTAACATGTCAGCTCTGTCGAGGCTTGACAATATTGATTTCTCGATTTTAAATCGATCTTTACTTTGGTGAACTGAGGTCTTTCTCTATACTGGTTTCCATTAATGCGTGAACAAAACTTACAAGCTTTGCGCTTTGATAGGGAAAAAGTCTGGGCTCTCAAATTCTGTCTATTTAATAACTAAATTCAAACAATAAATGTGACCCTGGAACACAAAAGCAGTGTTAAGTCGCTGGGGGATATTTGTAGCAATAGCCAACAATACATTGTATGGGTTAAACTTATAGATTTTTCTTTTATGCCAAAAATCATTAGGATATTAAGTAAAGATTGTGTTCCATGAAGATATTTTGTAAATGCCCTACCGTAAATATCTCAAAACGTAATTTTTGATTAGTAATATGCATTGCTAAGAACTTCATTTGGATAACTTTAAAGACGATTTTCTCAGTATTTTAATTTTTTTTTTTGCTCCCTCAGATTCCAGATTTTCAAATAGTTGTATCTCAGCCAAATATTGTCCGATCCTAACAAACCTTACATCAATGGAAAGCTTATTTATTCAGCTTTCAGAGGATGTATACATCTCAATTTCGAGAAATTGACCTTTATGACTGGTTTTGTGGTCCAGGGTCACATATGTGATTTTGATGCTCTTCAATGTGACGTAAAGTTTAGCCGCTACAGTTCAAGTGAAATGCATTAACCTCAGGAAAGCCTTTCACTGTCTATAAACTCGTTAGTCAGCTAGAAGAAGTTAACTTTAGAGGAGCATTTTGTTAAATATATGCACTATACTACATATCTATTATATTTTTACTGTTTTTATTTTAATGTATTGTCTTAATGTATGTTTGAATAAGTCAGTCGTGAAAGTGAGTTTTTATTTCAGCCACCTGATTGATCAAAGGCCTCATTGATCTGAGCTCATGCACCTCGGTTTTTGAGTGAATTAAGCATTATTTGTGGATAATTTTGTTAATGTTCACTCAAAAGCTGCCGTGCATAAGCTCAGATCAATGAAACTATGATCCGTCAGTTCCAAAAAAGAAATGCAAAACCTGTCCTAACTGAAAGAAAACAAATTGCTGAAAATATTTAAGCCAATATTTGGTGATATAGCATAACAAGAAATGTATCAGCAGTTTTACAAATGTAATAAGTTGGTAAAAAAAAAGTACAAAAATCATAAAAAAAATTGTACATTTATTTTTGGGGAAGTTATACCCTGTGTGTCAGTACGTTTGAGTCCAATGAGATGACATTAACATTAAAATCCATTAAAATCCTCTCTGGGTCAAAATGAGAGGAATGCAACATGAGGGTTAAATACATTTATTATTTATAGTCTAACATTATTCTATTTTAATTCTACTTTATCTATATTTATCATCTTTTTTATTTATTTTTATTAAAAAAACAAAAAACAAACACTAGCTTTCTATTTTTTCTATTCTATCTACGTGTTTTTCTTTGTGTGTGTATGTGTGTGTATATTATATATATATATATATATACACACCTTGCTGCGTGTACTGTGTTAGGCTAACCGAGACTTGTCATTTGCACTTATATATTGTTGCTCTTTTGTTAGTTTTGAATGCTTTTATTGTCCTCTTTTGCAAGTCGCTTTGGATAAAAGCGTCTGCTAAATGACTAAATGTAAATGTAACATTTGAATGCAATTTCCCTCCTCCTCCTCAGTACGAGTGGTGAAGTCTGTGATTGGTGAGTAAAGATGGACGCTTGTGTAACAGCAGAAACACAAGGCTCATTGAAGTTACATTAGAAAGCTCATGGCAGCGTTAAATGTCAGGTTGCTGACTCTGAATGCGTCTGACTCTTGGCTGATCAGAGAACAGGTTTTTTCACAGAGAACGGTGTTTCACAGCACAGACATCATAGCCTTCAAAGCTATGAATTCAGCATTTACACTGGCAGATTTTCAGCTCTTAGTCCATTTGTTTCAGTGTGTGGGGTAATCAGGAGACATGTTATAACACACAGACACACACACACACACACACACACAGTGTATTCGTCTGTGTATTTCTTGAGTCTTATGTGTGCAGGTGTAGATTTACAATTTTGTGAGTTTGGCGTTTTTTTTAAACCACTTGTCATTGCCCCACACTTTGTACACTAGAGTTATATCAATGACCTACCTGTCCGATTATGTTCATCTCTCAATAGTTAACTCTCTCTGTTTATTTTTCCCAACACACACACACACACACACACACACAGTGTATTCGTCTGTGTATTTCTTGAGTCTTATGTGTGCAGGTGTAGATTTACAATTTTGTGAGTTTGGCGTTTTTTTTAAACCACTTGTCATTGCCCCACACACTTTGTACACTAGAGTTATATCAATGGCCTACCTGTCCGATTATGTTCATCTCTCAATAGTTAACTCTCTCTGTTTATTTTTCCCATAGGACTTAAAAGACCTGACACAGCGAAACGAGTGCCTAGAACTCAAAGGTGAGCCGGAAATCTCCTTATCACAATGTTCAGTGTTTGCACGGTCATTGAAAGTTCAGGGAATTTTAAAATTGTATATGGAATAGTCATAGACGTTTAATGAAATAATAAAAAGTCTTGGAAATATGAGTTTTTCTTGTTTTTAAAATGTTCCTTAAAATATTTGAACCAGCATTAAAAAAAAATCCTGAAACTCAATTGTTTTTTATTTAATTCTCATTCAGCAAGGATGCATTAAATTGATCAAAAGCAACAGAAAAGCTATTAAAAGTATTACGAAAGATTTATTTTTCTAACAAATGCTGTTCTTTTGAGCTTTCTATTCATCAAAGAATCCTGAAAAAGAAAATGTATCACAAAATATGAAGCAGCACAACTGTTTTCAACATTGCTAATAATCAGAAATGTTTCTTGAGCAGTAGTGATGGGAAGTCTGGTTCTTTTCCACGAACCGGTTCTTTCGGACAGTTCGTTTCAAAAAAACGGTTTATCGGTTATTTTACGCCCTAACGTAATGACATAATCCGTGATGATATCAAGTCTATCGTCCCGGGCTGGGATGAAAATACACATTCAAATATATAAAGTCAGTAATCATAACTTCAGTCAGTTAAAACATCATAATCATGATTAGTAGCCGATATATCGGCCGATATATTTGGCATTTTTTTTAAATACTGGCATCGGCCGATAAGTTTTCCTGTTTGGCCGATGCGTTCGAGGCGGGACTTTTATTTTGACGGCACTGAGAGCGGCAGCGCCTGAGCACACAGTGCTCACGTTCTCCCTCTTGTTCGTTGTTGCTGTTAACAGTTCTCGGTCTAATAATCAGATAGAACGGTTAAACAAAGGAATTACAATGTATACAGAAAGTATTATAACGATTGCTTTTATATTATTAGTAATAGAAAGGCAAACATTATAATACTTCTTGTTTGCCGTCAGCATTCAGCAAATATGCATTTATATCATTTAAACAAATCTTTGAATGACTAATGAACATTTAATTACACAAACCTTGCAAACTTAGTTGTGAGATCTTGTGAAGTGTGCATTTGTATCCTGTACGTTGTACCCAATGCACACACACTTCCCAGAATACTGAGTGCCCTGTTGGTTACAGTGTTTACTTCCTTTTTTTTATTATATTTTTTATTAAATATTTATTTATTTGTGAAAAATACTTTGTCATCTAAAGTATAAGTATGTTTATCATATTTATTTGTTAATCCATTTTCAAATAATTTTTAAATGTATTAAATATTAATTAAAATAAATAAAATTATACCGGCTTTATATCGGCCATCGGCCACCCTGCTTTCCAAGGTATCGGTATCGGCTGTCAAAAAAACAATATCGGTCGACCACTAATCATGATCTGAAAATTTTACAATTAAGTTTTGCAACTAAGCACCCAAATACAGTAACAGGCAGTGATGTGCATACGAGGATTTAAGTTTTGAAGATATAAAGTAAATTAGTTGTCGTCAGTGCAGAAACCATAATCCACTTACTATGCATAATCCATTGCGATTTATTTGTTATTAAATAAATTTACGTTTCGCCAGATAGCCCTTCATTCAAGTCTGCGTTAACTGTAAATACAGTACAGGTATTTCATAAATCATCCCTTATTCCTATTAAACATAGAGTCTTAATTATTGTCCAACTTCCCAAAAAAACCCTTTGGCCTATAACCTAACAGAATCTTCAACTGAACAAAGTACACAGATTAGATACATTCACCTTTTTTAAAAAAGTAAAATAAAATATATTTATATTATCACACTTTCTGATGTTTAACAAAATACTTGGATAACATGCTTTTCGTCCTCTTGAAAAATGGCACGCGTGCGCAGTATCATCAGCTCATCGGTTCTCAAATCGGACGTGTCCGAAAGAAACGGTTCTCGGTTGAGTGTACCGGTGATCCGAAAACCGATGCAAGCGGTTCTTGACTCGAGAAGGAGAACCGCTCCAGCAGTGGGCGCGTACGTTCGTTATCCGGCTCGCTGCACACATGCTGCTCTGCTCGTGTTCATCTTCAGTTCTCTCTTCACAGCAGTTCAGTCAGTGTACTGTTTGAGTAAATGAATTACTCCGGGATATTGGTTTATTTCGACTCGGGGAGTGTCAGCCACGTTAAAAAAGTGAATAACTTGAGTAATTTGTGGATTAATGCTTACTGGAGATGCGAACCGTTTCAAACGATTCAGTCCGATTTGGTGAACTTGTTCAACCGGTTCACTAAGACACTAATAGACATCACTATTGAGCAGCAAATCAGCATATTAGAATGATTTCTGAAGGATCATGTGACACTGAAGACTGGAGTAATTCACATAGAAAACAGCTATTTTAAATTGTAATAATATTTTTCGAAATAATAATATATTTTAAACTGTACCAACCACAAACTTTAAAATTTTGTGTATATTATATACATTTAATGAATTAGGAACATATAAGTCATGGGAATGTTTCATTCACTCTCACACACACACACACACACACACACACACACACACACACAGGTTCTCCGTTGAGTTCAACCTGTTAAGACTGGTTTGTGTTGTTAATGGGTGTGTGTCCATAGACGAGCTGATCTCACCGTCAGATGATTCAAGTTTACTGTACATAAGAAATTAGCAGAAAAATCATCACTGCGCGTTTGACTTTGATGTGTTTGTACCAAATAAAAACATATAAAGAGCCGTATCAGTGCAGAAGTTAAATATAATATCTCTGTCTTTCTCTCTCTCTGTGTTTTCCTCTGTAGGCGAGAAGCTGGATTATAAATCATGTGAATCTCTGGAGGAGATCTTTAAGAGGGTGCAGTTTAAAGTGCTGGATCTGGAACAGACAAACTTAGACGAGGATGTGAGTGCCGCTCCTTTTTACCTCTTTCGTCTCATTTCCTGACCAGCTTTATGACGGCAGGGTCATTCTTGTTCTTTCTCTTTCCACCTTTAAGACTGCCTGAGCTTCTGTTATGGCGAGTGCAGCGCTCTGATTTCGTTTATCAGTGCCGTTACTCAATGAAAATACTCATCTGTTTAGTGTGTTTGGTTGAGGCATGTGTCTGTGTGCAGACTACATGTGTGCTGTTCTGATACGGTTTGTGTTTGTCCAACATAAACACAGATATCAGGAGACATTAATTCAGTCTGGTTACTTAAGGTCGCTCCAGGCCTCTGCTAACTGTGCTTGATTTAATGCTATAATCTTGACATGCGTCATAAGGAGGGTGGATCTCAGCATCTTCCATGTATACAAACACACAACTTAAGGGAGTGTCATGGAAAACTGGATTTTTTTCTCTCTTCTGAAATAAATAAAAGATGTATACATATTCTAACCATTATTATTTATGTATATATTTATTGTTTCATTTATTTATATTTTTTTTACATTTATTTTAATGTGATGGATTTATAGATTTTTTTTTTTAAATAAAAGATGTACTATGCATTGCACACATTCCAACCATCATTTATGTATATATTTGTTTAGTTTATTTATATTTATATTTATTTTAATGTAATTCATTTTATTTTTAATTTTAATTTTTTTAATAAAAGATGTACACATTCTAACCATTACTAGGCCTATTTGTTATTTGTTATGTTATTATATTTATTTTTGTTTATTTCATTTATGTATATTTATTTTAATGTGTTTAAATTTGTTGTATTTTAATTTCTACTTATTTTATTTTATTTTTATTGCGCATAACTACTGTGCTGGGATCAGTTTCTCCTACCTAAATCCAACTACTCCTTTAAGTGTTATTGGTTGTTTGTTTGGCCACGGCAGGTTTTTGTCCCCCAGCCGCAGTGCTGTAATCGGCATGTTCGTTGTTTTTCTGTGTCTATAAGTATTTGTTGCACTCCTGCTGCTTCTAATCTTCTTTACCTTTAAACCCTCTTTATGAACTGCTTTGTACTTGTTCTTGTTTTTGACTCCTCCAGAAACATTGAGCCTGTCCCTCCTCCTCTGTGAGAGCTCTTGTATGCAGTCATTTATGTATATTTATTTTAATGTGTTTAAATTTGTTGTATTTTAATTTCTACTTATTTTATTTTATTTTTATTGCGCATAACTACTGTGCTGGGATCAGTTTCTCCTACCTAAATCCAACTACTCCTTTAAGTGTTATTGGTTGTTTGTTTGGCCACGGCAGGTTTTTGTCCCCCAGCCGCAGTGCTGTAATCGGCATGTTCGTTGTTTTTCTGTGTCTATAAGTATTTGTTGCACTCCTGCTGCTTCTAATCTTCTTTACCTTTAAACCCTCTTTATGAACTGCTTTGTACTTGTTCTTGTTTTTGGCTCCTCCAGAAACATTGAGCCTGTCCCTCCTCCTCTGTGAGAGCTCTTGTATGCAGTCAGTGTGTGTGTGTGTGTGTGTGTGTGTGTGTGTGTGTGTTCAGGTTGGAGCTCAACACCATACGCTGCTCCTCAGCAGAGCTCTGACCAATCAAACACCGCTGCGTTTCACTTCTGTCCTCATTCTGTATGCCAGCGGAGCGTGACTGTGGGTCTGTCACAAGCGCAATCCCCGTGCAGAATAGTGCAACATGTTTAGCATTATTTAAGAAATATGTGAAATCATTTTTATTTTACTACAGATTAAACTATTTGACACTTAGTTCTTAAAGGGATAGTTCACCCAAAAAATTAGTTTTTTCTTTCTGTTAAACTCAAAAGAAGATATTTTGAAGAACACCAGTAACCAAACCATTCTGGTTCCACATTACCCACCGCTGGGGGATATTTGTAGCAATAGCCAAAAATACATTGTATGGGTTAAAATTATAGATTTTTCTTTTATGCCAAAAATCATTAGGATATTAAGTAAAAATCGTGTTCCATGAAGATATTTTGTAAATTTCCTACCGTAAATATATCAAAACTTAGTAATATGCATTGCTAAGAACTTCATTTGGACAACTTTAAAGATGATTTTCTCAATATTTAGATTTTTTTTGCACCCTCAGATTCCAGATTTTCAAATAGTTGTATCTCAGACAAATATTGTCCTATCCTAACAAACCATACATCAACGGAAAGCTCATTTATTCAGCTTTCAGATGATATATAAATTTACCCTTATGACTGGTGGTCCAGGGTCACACACACACACGCACACACATACACACATATATATAAATATATATATATAATATTAGGGCAGGCAGTTTAAGGAGTTAATTTAATTAGTTATGGAAAAATAACGTAATTGCAGTATTTTAACACAGTTAAGGCACCCGCCCCGCCCCAGACCTGTACGTCATCTTATATTTCATATGGTTGACTGTTGACAAACATGATGCAGGGCAACAACCATATAGTCCATAAATGCAGTTATGTGCCCCTAAAAATCAAGATGTTGCAGCTGTATGAATTTTGTCTCATGTTTTGAAATGAAATTACTTTTGTGGGTAATTTCTCAGAGTAATTAATCACCACATTGTGTAATTAATTAGATTTAAAAATGTTTAATTGATTAACAGCTCGAATATATATATATATATATATATATGTAGGCCTGTTTCACTCTAGAGATCAAAAGATTGCAAAAAATTTAGGAGCTCAAGTGGATCATGACTTTCTCATGATCTTTCTCTGTCTCTCTCTCTGTCTCTCTCTCGCTCTCTCTCTCTCTGTC